CGCTGTCCGAAGACGTCTCCGTGGTCATGTGGCCAGCATGACTAAACGCCAAAGGCGCCCAGAACGCTGTTCCATTCCCACCAAAGGTGGCTCCTATTTTTTCTACTTGCATTTTTTTACGTGCTCTCGAACTTCTAGGTCGGCAGAAGCTGAGACAAGTAATGGGAGCTCACTCCATTATGCGGTGCTAGGGATTCGAACTGCCAAACTGCCGATCTTTCTGATCGACAAGCTGTGTCTTAGCCACTGAGCCACCGCGTCCCTAGATGTCCCTGTAAACTGCCTAGAGACATTCAAAAATGAGTTTGAAATGCTATTTATACTGAGCAACACGAAGAAACAAGCAACACTTTTAACCTTTCATTACTGCATGACAAGGAAATTCACCAGTTTTCCTCATGTTGGACTCTTTAACCATGATTGTCACATAGAAAACTTCAGTGGCTTACAAGTTCAATATAAAGTTATTTTGAGAGTTAGGTTCAGCTCGACAGTCATCTAATTTTGTCGTTTAGAGATTACAAGATGTTTTTCTCTAATTTTTCTTCCTGCCCTTGTGAGTTTCTGTCTCTTTGTGTGTGTGTGTGTTTGTGTGTGTTTGAGTTTTTAGTCCAACCTACAGCCCAGGAGACTCTCCAGCTATGGATATTCTCAGTCATCCAGGTAATGGTTCTCCCGAAAATGCTTTTTCCAAAAGACAACTGGATTTTCCTGGATTTTTTCCTTTGAAAATGTTTTGCATTTCATCCAAGAAGTTTCTTCAGTTCTAAGCAAACTAAACATTCCCCAAGAGGCAGTTAGAACTGAAGGAGCTTCTTGGATGAGAAGCAAAATGTTTTCAAAAAACCAAGAAGTTCCACTTGTCTTTTGGAGAAAAAAAGCATCTTGGGACGACATCCCAGGAACTTCTCTTCTCAAGGATCAGCTGATCCTTCTCAAATTCCAAGTTCACACAAGATCAACAAGGGTTTGGGATCAGTTGAGGTTTAGAATTCTATGAGGTGATTGGAAATGGGTTTTGAGAATTGAACCAGTAGTTGAGAATTGATAACTGAAGCCCATCCTGGCTCTAACATCTACTTTACGCTCTTATGCGAGAGTTGAAGAAGCTGGGCGTTGAAACCAATGAGATGACCTGCCAAAAATGGGAATTGGAGAGGCAACAAAATAAGAAGAACACACTGGACCTTTTTTAAAATTCCTGAAATCTTTAAAATAGCAACAGGCCACATTTCTCTAGTCTCTTCCATAAAAATCAGTCCAGTTCTCTGTGTGCATTTAGTATTTCTNATATAAGTCTAACTGCTATTGCTATTGCTATTGCTACCTAGGAATTCGTAGGGCCAAAATCCAACAAATGTGGAAGGCACCACAAGGACTAGAAAAGCTGTTATCAGAAAAAGCTGTGGATATTCTTTGCTATTCTTTGGTAAGGAAGAGGAGCAAAAACTCCCATGCCTTTGGCTACCACTACTCACCACTGTCTATTGCCAAAAAGGATGCCGTGTAGACGTTGTTCAGTACGGAGGGGGATTCACGATCAAGCATGCCCTTGGTGCGAATGGTTCCATTTGTAGGATTGATTTCCAACCAGTCAGCTGGATCTCTGTTGGTGGAGAACCTGCCAAAATGAACAGAGAATAATCAACGATACCAATAGAAGAGAATCTTTGTGGCTCAGGGTTGAACTGTGGGGGTCCTTGGTGCTTTCTGAGCTTGGTGTTTTTCTTGCAGACGATTCATTACCCAACTAGAGAACATCATCTGTGCTAGAAGGGAGTGGGATTTGTGGGGAAGAAGAGGAAAACTGTGGAGTCTTTGATACTCTCTGAGATTGGTTGTTTTCTTACAGATATCTCATTACCCAAGTAAGCAACGCCATCAGTGTCAGAAGAGACAACCTAAATAGATAAAAATAAATAAATAAATTCTGGGAGTTGAAGTCCACATACATCTTAGACTTCCTAAGGTTGAGGGACGCTACTTTAGATCTTGACTTAAAAGAGGCCTCTTTGTTGAACAAGGGCAGCGTCACGGCGATGTTTGCGACTGTGTAAACAAAGCGTGGCATTTCCCCCAAGCACCTCATTCACACCAAACGACAATGGCGCTATTGGCACCATCGAGAATGATTAGAGAGGAACAAAGAACAAGCTGTTGTGATTAGCAAATGATACAGTCTATCAGCTCCACCTGGGCCTGTTTTTTTTTTCTTTTCATAACCATCAAAGCCCAGATCCGCAGCAGCATCTTAGGATCCATAGTGATGAATGCCCTGCGCGACAACAACGGTGCGTCTAATTATTTCACACGGCTCCTTTGTCCCTTGAAAAAAGAATCATTCTGAAACAACGATGTCTATCAAGCTAGGAGACAAGGTAGCTGAACTCATCGCGAGGTGAAGACTATCCTATTCATCCCGAACAATATGCTTGTGTGTGCGACACATGTGTGTGCAGGTACTCCACATGTACAACCCCCTCCCTCCCACACACACACACAAACACTCAGCTCTGCAGAACAATTGGGAAAGATTAACCCCTGCTTTCTACATTCACAAATGGTAGTACTTTGGAGAAATGGGCATTTCTCCTCAATCTGTTCCGATTGTGCATCGGAGATAAATTACACAACATGTAATTTGACACAGAGCATTATTCCTCTCCTCCCCCCCCCCCACAAATTAAATCTTCTCTCAAATTGTACCCATTGTAAGTACATAATATCCCTTAACTAAGGCGATTGTTCCTCGCTGAGATTCTTTTAATATGCAAATATGAGTTTTGGTTACCCGAAGTGTAAAAATATATATATGTGAAACATAAAATCAAAGCAAAATAGGGTCCTGATTTAAAAGGTGTGTTTGGGAGTGATTCAAGCAGATTTCGTTCCCCCCTGTTTGTAGACCTCTCTGCTTTCCAAATCTATACACCCATATCTTTCTGGGAACCAGAGTAGTTCTCAGCTGTAGAATGAATATATCCAAATTGGCTTAAATCCACTAAGAACAATGTTAAATTTCATGTGAAAGAGAGCTGGGCAATTTAGAAGAACCAGAAGCTTCAAGACCCAACAGGATTTGAGAAAGCAAAATGAGTGTGTTAATTCCTATCTCACCTCTTCTTTTGTCTACAGGAACGTAGAATTATTGAGTTGGCAAGACGTATTTAGCCCATCAATCCAACTTGTATTCAGTGAAACATCAGATATTGAAATATCCCAGACAGATACAGATAGTTCTCGACTTACAGCTCATCATTTAGGGACCATTCGAAGTTACAGCAGCCCCGGAAAAAGTGATTCATGACCCCTTTTCACACTTAACGATCTTTGCAGCATGAGAGAGAGAGAGAGAGAGAGAGAGAGAGAGAGAGAGAGAGAGC